CAATGGGAAGATTCAAGTAAAAACAATATCAAGTGAATAACACCTTAAGTTTGAATTTTTTGATACATGTTAATTTTCTATCGTTTTTTCAATCAGTCCTCTATGTGTAACGTAGAATATGCTACACATAATAATGGTAACAATAAGCTCAATAATTCAGCATGTCCCACATCTTTATACTATGATGGGAAATATTTAAAAGGTTTCTAAAATATGAATAACTAATAGATAAAGCTTGTTCTTATATCACTTGTGAACCAGATTACTTTCCGTAAATCATGTAATTATTTTCTCAAATTCCCTAAGAATGCCTCTCTCCATGAGCCTTAAGTAAATGGAGCTATCACATTGTTTGCACTCTAGTATCAAGCGAAATATTTTATTTAAAAGAAAACAAATAATTTTTGTGCAACATATTAACCGACAAAATACATCATAAACGAACTAGAATTCTCTTGGTGCAATGTAGATAATCTGTTCATAGACAAAGATAACGAACTGAATTTACTAGACAAGTTCCATATAATTTATCAAGCTGTCAGTTTTACAATGAAACGAAAAAAAACAACGATAGCATTCCATTCTTAGCTATTTTTTTTATTAAATGATTGGATAAAAAGACAAAAAGAGGTGGGTATCGAAGACCAACAGCTTTAGGTCAACGTACTCGTTTTGAGCTCTATCCTACTATAATAATTTGTTTATAGAGCTACGGGTATCTGTAATGAAGAGAGAATTTAGGAAGGACTTAAGCCTATTCATGAGCTATTGTGTAATAATAAATATTAATAAAACTTCCTAACAGACAACTCTAAAGAAAAAGTCTAAATGAATTTATAAACAGCTCCAAAAAGCCTTTGCTTCTGTAATTGTAGTGTAAAGGTAACATAATGAAAATCGTTACACGTTGTTTATGGTATTCACTGACAACATTCCATGTTCCCAGATTAGTTCATTCATTCCTTAGCCAATGAATATTAATTTTTCAAATAAAGATATGGAGATAAGGATGGTAAGCTCCTCAACTCCTATGTATACTAGTCAGTTCAACTGGTTCTATCGACCCACTTATGTTGGGCTTGCAATGAGGTGAAACCGATGTTAGAGAAGCACTGGACAACTGGACAAACAGCTTTACAAAGGTTCAACTCAGCCATCCTACGAGATACCGACAAACTCAACGAATTCAAGATAACTCTCAACAACAGGTTACAAACCTTACATGATCCACTGAAAGAAGAAGAAACTACCATGAAGGACAACTGCAAAGGGATCAAAGAAGCACTCACATCAATGTGTCAGGAGGTGCTGGGCCGCAAGAAGCATTATCACAACGAAGTGATCCCTATCGAAACCATGCACAAAATTCAAGAGAGGAACAACAAGAAGACAGCAATTAACAACAGCCGAACAAAAACAGAGAATCTCAAGGCACAAGTTGAATACACTGAAGCAAACAAGAAAGTGAAGAGGAGCGTTAGAGCCGACAAGCAGGAATACGTGGAAGAGCTAACAACGACAGTGGAAAAAGCTGAAACCGAAGGAAATGCGAAACACCTATATGACACAACGAAGAAACTTGCACGGAAATATTGTAAAGCAGAGCGACCAGTCAAAAGTGAAGAAGACACATCAATCACTGGGATTCAAGGACAGCGTAACAAGTGGATAGACAACTTTGAAGAACTCTTGAATAGGTCAACCCCACTGAACCCAGGGGAAACCGAGGCACCACACACACTCCACCAACAACCGAAGAAATCAGTATGGCCATAGGGCAAATGAAGACTGGCAAAGCAGTTGGATCTGACAATATACCAGCGGAAGCTCTGAAATCAGACATAGAAGTAACTGCAAGGATACTCCACGTTCTATTCAGGAAGGTTTGAGAGGAAGAACAAGTGACACCAACAGACTGGAGAGAAGGACTATTCATCAAAATACCAGAGAAAGGAGATCTGAACAAATGTGAAAACTGCATAGGCGTCACACTACTATTAGTACCAGGGAAAGTATCCAACAGTGTTACTGAACCGGATGACGTTCAATTTCGAGATCAACAGGCTGGATCCCGTAAGCATCGATCGTGCACAGAACAAATCGCGACACTATGGATCATTGTTCGGCAATCAACTGAATGGAACGCGTCACTATTATCAACATCCCCGACTATGAAAAAACGTTTGACAATGAGGATAGCAGAAGCTTAAGAACGTTCTTCGACACTGTGGTATACATGAGAAGATTGTCAACATCATACGGGATTCATACGGCCGACTACATTGCAAAGTTGTGAATGGAGGACAGCTGACAGATGCATTGCAAGTGAGAACCGGAGTCAGACAAGATTGCTTACTCTCCACCTTCCTCTTTCCTTTGGTGGTTGATTGAATTATGAAGACGTTCACATCTGAGGGAAAGCACGGAATGCAATAGGCATCTTGCATGCAACTAGACGATTTGGACTTTGCAGATGACCTGGCCCTTGTATCCTCTACACCAACAAATGCAGATGAAGACAACTGGTGTAGCAGCAGCCTCTGCATCAGTAGGCCTCAACGTACACAAAGGAAATGCAAGACCCTCAAATACAATGCAGAGAGCAACCACCCAAACACACTTGATGGAGGAACTGCGGATGATGTGATATCTTTCAAATACCTGGGAAGCATCATCGATGAACATGGAGGATCAGAAGCAGATGTATGGGCGAAGACTGGAAAAGCAACGGCCGCATTTCTACAACTGAAGAACATATAGAACTAAAAACAACTGTCAATCAATATCAAGGTGAGAATCTTCAGTACGGACGATAAGACAGTCTTACTGTACGGAGCTAAAACGTGGAGAACTACTACAACTATCAACAAAAAGTACAAGTATTATAAACAGTTGACGCAAGATACTCAATATCAGTTGGCCGGGTACCATCAGTAACAACCTAATGTGGGAGAGGACAAACCAGGTTCCAACTGAAGAGAAAATTTGGAAAAGACGTTAGAAGTGGATAGGGCATACATTACGGAACCACCAAACTGTGCCACGAAATAAGCCCTAATTTGGAATCCTGAAGGGGAACGGAAAAGAGGAAGGCCGAAGAACACACAGCTCCAAGAATCGGAAACAGACACGAAAAGGATGAACAGCAACTGGAAAGGATTACCCAGGACAGGGTTGGATGGAGAATGCTGGTGCGCGGCCTATGCTCCCCGACGAAGGGTAAAAGGCGTAAGGAAGTAAATATGTAATTATAATAAAGTCAATAGGAAATTAATAATTCTGTGGAGATTACTGACGCTTTTAATAGATTATTAAATTGATTGACCTCATTTTATTTTATTGCAACAGTTCCAATCTCGCTATGTTGAAAGGTATTTCAGTTTATAGAAGGGAGAATATATATGAACTGTGCATTAAAAGATTCGTATATCACTTGATGAATGTATTATTATTATTACTAACATTATTATTATTATTATTATTATTATTATTATTATTATTATTATTATTATTATTATTATTATTATTATTATTATTATTTCCATGACCTCATAGATGCTACGAAAACAAGAGTTTTATTAGATTCACTTTATTTCTTATGAAATAAAATCGATTTTCGAGTGTAAAACATAGTCTATTTATTCTATACCTGGTTTTTGATTAACGAAATAGAATGATTGAAGTTGTTTTATGATATCTAGAAAACATAGAATAGGTCCATGACCTTTTATAATACTTGCAATTTCAGAACAAATCCACCTACAATATCATTAATTTCATGTATTACCTTTTGCCATTAATATCAGTGATATTATAACTAGGTACATCTGTTCTCTTTTTAAGTAAAACACGATATGTAATCAGCACTCTGTTTTATTGCCAGTTTTCTCTTATGTTGATCTAAGTGAAGTTAGTATCATTAAGAGCAAAGATGGATAGTGGCTAGCAGTGGAATTCAGGACGCGCGTTTCGTCCTGTTTGGGACTCGTCAGCTGGGTGTATCTGCATCTCAGAATTGACGTTCACTCTGGGACTCGAACTCACTACCGTCCGCTTCAAACGCCACCGCGTTATCTACTCAGCTACTGAGTCCTGATAGCCATTTGCTTGTGCAATGGTGTGAATTTAAATTCACTTGGTATTGTTTGGCTTGTATCTTCCCATTTAGGTTTAAGATTGCAATTGATCAAGTAAAACAACATCAAGTGAATTAAACTTCACCCCATTGCACAACCAATATATATATATTAGGAAGAGAGAGTAATGGCATTGTTCATCAATCCAGCATTTCATCGACGAGATCGAATAATTAATCATCTTCAAATTTATGAAATAACAATTCAAAGGAAATGTATCTCTAATGATGTACTTGCTATGAAATTCATACTAAATACAAAAATTAAACTTCCGAAAATACTGAGAAATATTTCCACTTAAATGTCGTTTCATGATGCTTAAGTTACTGTACTAAGTATGTCGATATATAAATGGACTATATAGTTTTAATTCGAGAAGAACCGGATCGCCTGTAATATTGAATAACCTAGTGAATTTGCCCTAATAATCGATTAGAACTAAATGTCAGAAATTTAAAGACCCTATTTTCTAGCTTTCAAAGAATCGTTAATAATGAGATGGCTCAGGCGAATGCACTCCAAATCAAGTGAACATCTCTTAACTTTCAGTGAAATTTAGGAAGGAAGACAATTTTTGATAAAAATGATTTATGTATTAGTTAGAGATTGTGATGATAAAATGGCTGGAACAACAACGAACAAACTAAGAGTAACCTATCACATATACGTAATAAGTGATAATGAAATAGGTATTTAATAAATTAGTGAAAAACTACTTTCATAAAAGTTTAAAATTAGTAATGAAGAAATGGTGATCCCCACTTATAAATAATTTATATAACAGAGAAAATTAACGATGACACAACGAGATGAAAAAACAAATATTCCAGAAAGCTAAGAATTACATGAGGCAAAAGCCTGTATCTAAGCTTCCTCTATTCCTTCGATATCAGAATCGTTCTCGTCATCGACCGTTGCATCTTGATATTGTTGATATTCACTTACCAAATCATTCATATTTGATTCAGCCTCAGTAAATTCCATCTCATCCATCCCTTCACCTGTGTACCAATGTAAAAACGCTTTACGACGGAACATTGCAGTAAACTGTTCAGAAACACGCTTAAACAACTCTTGAATAGCCGTACTATTACCAATAAAAGTCACCGACATCTTCAAACCACGAGGAGGAATGTCACATACTGCCGTCTTCATATTATTCGGGATCCACTCGACAAAATAACTCGAATTCTTATTCTGCACATTCAACATCTGTTCATCCACCTCCTTCATAGACATACGACCACGGAAGATCGCCGCCACTGTCAAGTAACGACCATGACGAGGATCACAGGCAGCCATCATATTCTTTGCATCAAACATTTGCTGTGTCAGTTCAGGCACAGTTAATGAACGATACTGTTGGCTGCCACGACTTGTTAGCGGAGCGAATCCTGGCATGAAGAAATGCAATCGAGGGAACGGGACCATATTGACCGCCAGTTTCCGTAGATCGGCATTCAGCTGTCCAGGAAATCTGAGGCAGGTCGTCACTCCAGACATGGTTGCACTAACCAAGTGGTTGAGATCTCCATAGGTGGGGTTGGTCAATTTGAGTGTTCTGAAGCAGATGTCATAGAGTGCTTCGTTGTCGATGCAGAACGTTTCATCAGTATTCTCAACCAGTTGATGTACAGACAGTGTAGCATTGTATGGCTCGACAACAGTGTCGGACACCTGGATAAAATACAGATGCAAATTTCGGGTTTCATATTCTGTATCATTTATTGATAGAAAGAAAACGAGAACTGTTTCAATATTTTAGTTCCAAAAGTATTCACACGAATCAATGTTGTAACTGAAAGTTATTAAAACGTAAAAATTACTTAACGAGAAGTCAGATCTCGATGACAACACTTTTCAGTCTGTAAGGATGTTTAAAATTTGTTTTAACAATCAACAGTTAGTGACTGAGATTTATTCCAATATTTGATTGCCTATAACCACGGTATTTTACACCAGTACTCTAATTATCAAATCTTCTTTTTCTTTCCATTTCTGTTGTGATGAGCAGTGGATTTAAATAGCGATGTACACTATGTCTGACGTTATAAAGGAATAGGAAAATAGTATTAATCATACCTTACGGGTTCAATAAGGTTCAGAATAACATTCCACATACTCTCATATACTCGGAATCATAAAGTGAAATCAATCAAAATATGATAATTATCAAACCTTAATTCTGGGATCAAGGATGTTTATTAAAAAGTAATCATAAAATAACAGAAAATCGGAATTTATTAATATTCATTGTAAAGAACTTTTTAATTTCATATATATTTATCGATGTAGATTAGTTAATTTTAACGGAGTTAAATGCTGCTTTTGTACTCTAAGACTTAACAGCTTTGTCTTTCTATACTTACATTCAGTCTTGAAAATTTAATAGTTAAATTACATATACAATGATCTACGTACATATGAGCAATAAGTCTCTCAGAAGGATTATTTTGTGTGTGTTGTCACATGAATATCTGCTCATGAATAGAAAAATTATCACAACAATTATCTAGTTTTCATTCTTTAACAATTTCGCACTATCTTTCAAAAAACTTAGTTCATTATTTATGCTTCTCTACATCATCTTTTAAATTAATATGAGAATTATTAGTCAACCAAAGTCTCAATAGTAATCGAGGTAGTAACAATGGTTGTATATTAATTAAATAGCAATAGTGCTAGCAGTCTAAATGTGTTCTCTTATTAAGAATTAGGGATGAACACAAAGAGAACTAGAAGATTTAAGGATGCCGTTATACGTAAAATGAATCAAGGCATAGCTTTTGCGAGTTTATTCGCTTTAACTCATAATCATATTTAATCATGTGATATTGTAAAACCTAAAAACTTTTGATGTTTAGTAAATAATGTCCTTGCCTAGTATTAGTAAACGTAACCAGATTACAACCGGTCTTGTACTCTCAAACTTCAAAATATCAGTCCGGTCCTTACATAAGCTTATCTGGAACACCAGATTGCTAGAATGCTATGATGAGTATAGAAGAGCCTTCTCAATTTGCGAGAATGCCTAGAAAACTTCCTGTAGTCGATAATTCAAGTAAGTTTAGTATCCATAGTTCAAAAAATCAACTTAATTAAAGCTAGTGAAGTATTGAGGTGAACCCCATTCTGTCTTCTGTGGCCTTAAAAACACGTTAATATTCCCAATTTCGATACATGGGGTGTGATTTGAAGATCAGACCAAGAAGAACCTTTGACTTGATAATTAAATCCTGTAACTTTTATTGTGTTAGTAGTTAAACTGATATTCCAGGAGTCATTGCTCAGTACTCATTAGTACACTGGAATTTTATCATCTATGAATGCCGCAGTCTGATCATTAAACTTATTTCAAAAAACAATCAAATGGATATGTGCTATTTTCTATCCTTCGGGGATGTATCAGAACTAATAAATATTAGAAGTATATTTTGGGAAATGTAGATGTATTTCTTAATACTTTCCTTGCATTTAGATTTCTCAAGAGATAAAATATTGCCAATATAAACACTGAATAGAGTAACTTAGGAATTAAATATGTATAAGACTTTTTGCCTCACCTTAGGAGATGGAACAACTGAAAATGTGTTCATTATTCGATCAGGATACTCTTCACGAATTTTCGAAATCAACAGTGTTCCCAAACCTGAACCAGTTCCACCACCAAGTGAATGAGTCAATTGAAAACCTTGAAGAGAATCCGTGTTCTCTGCCTCCTTACGCATCACATCTAATACTGAATCTACAAGTTCGGCACCTTCAGTATAATGACCTTTAGCCCAGTTGTTTCCTGCACCTGTCCTGGGCTATCTTTCTCAGATGTTTCTAAATGTTATTGATTATTTTCATGTCTGCCCCCAATTATGAAAGCTACGTGTTCGTGTGTATGGGATAGAAGGGCCAGGTCATCTGCAAAGTCCAAATCGTCTAGTTGCATGCAAGATGCCTATTGCATTCCGTGCTTTCCCTCAGATGTGAACGTCTTCATAATTCAATCAACCACCAAAGGAAAGAGGAAGGTGGAGAGTAAGCAATCTTGTCTGACTCCGGTTCTCACTTGCAATGCATCTGTCAGCTGTCCTCCATTCACAACTTTGCAATGTAGTCGGCCGTATGAATCCCGTATGATGTTGACAATCTTCTCATGTATACCACAGTGTCGAAGAACGTTCTTAAGCTTCTGCTATCCTCATTGTCAAACGTTTTTTCATAGTCGGGGATGTTGATAATAGTGACGCGTTCCATTCAGTTGATTGCCGAACAATGATCCATAGTGTCGCGATTTGTTCTGTGCACGATCGATGCTTACGGGATCCAGCCTGTTGATCTCGAAATTGAACGTCATCCGGTTCAGTAACACTGTTGGATACTTTCCCTGGTACTAATAGTAGTGTGACGCCTATGCAGTTTTCACATTTGTTCAGATCTCCTTTCTCTGGTATTTTGATGAATAGTCCTTCTCTCCAGTCTGTTGGTGTCACTTGTTCTTCCTCTCAAACCTTCCTGAATAGAACGTGGAGTATCCTTGCAGTTACTTCTATGTCTGATTTCAGAGCTTCCGCTGGTATATTGTCAGATCCAACTGCTTTGCCAGTCTTCATTTGCCCTATGGCCATACTGATTTCTTCGGTTGTTGGTGGAGTGTGTGTGGTGCCTCGGTTTCCGCTGGGTTCAGTGGGGTTGACCTATTCAAGAGTTCTTCAAAGTTGTCTATCCACTTGTTACGCTGTCCTTGAATCCCAGTGATTGATGTGTCTTCTTCACTTTTGACTGGTCGCTCTGCTTTACAATATTTCCGTGCAAGTTTCTTCGTTGTGTCATATAGGTGTTTCGCATTTCCTTCGGTTTCAGCTTTTTCCACTGTCGTTGTTAGCTCTTCCACGTATTCCTGCTTGTCGGCTCTAACGCTCCTCTTCACTTTCTTGTTTGCTTCAGTGTATTCAACTTGTGCCTTGAGATTCTCTGTTTTTGTTCGGCTGTTGTTAATTGCTGTCTTCTTGTTGTTCCTCTCTTGAATTTTGTGCATGGTTTCGATAGGGATCACTTCGTTGTGATAATGCTTCTTGCGGCCCAGCACCTCCTGACACATTGATGTGAGTGCTTCTTTGATCCCTTTGCAGTTGTCCTTCATGGTAGTTTCTTCTTCTTTCAGTGGATCATGTAAGGTTTGTAACCTGTTGTTGAGAGTTATCTTGAATTCGTTGAGTTTGTCGGTATCTCGTAGGATGGCTGAGTTGAACCTTTGTAAAGCTGTTTGTCCAGTTGTCCAGTGCTTCTCTAACATCGGTTTCACCTCATTGCAAGCCCAACATAAGTGGGTCGATAGAACCAGTTGAACTGACTAGTATACATAGGAGTTGAGGAGCTTACCATCCTTATCTCCATATCTTTATTTGAAAAATTAATATTCATTGGCTAAGGAATGAATGAACTAATCTGGGAACATGGAATGTTGTCAGTGAATACCATAAACAACGTGTAACGATTTTCATTATGTTACCTTTACACTACAATTACAGAAGCAAAGGCTTTTTGGAGCTGTTTATAAATTCATTTAGACTTTTTCTTTAGAGTTGTCTGTTAGGAAGTTTTATTAATATTTATTATTACACAATAGCTCATGAATAGGCTTAAGTCCTTCCTAAATTCTCTCTTCATTACAGATACCCGTAGCTCTATAAACAAATTATTATAGTAGGATAGAGCTCAAAACGAGTACGTTGACCTAAAGCTGTTGGTCTTCGATACCCACCTCTTTTTGTCTTTTTATCCAATCATTTAATAAAAAAAATAGCTAAGAATGGAATGCTATCGTTGTTTTTTTTCGTTTCATTGTAAAACTGACAGCTTGATAAATTATATGGAACTTGTCTAGTAAATTCAGTTCGTTATCTTTGTCTATGAACAGATTATCTACATTGCACCAAGAGAATTCTAGTTCGTTTATGATGTATTTTGTCGGTTAATATGTTGCACAAAAATTATTTGTTTTCTTTTAAATAAAATATTTCGCTTGATACTAGAGTGCAAACAATGTGATAGCTCCATTTACTTAAGGCTCATGGAGAGAGGCATTCTTAGGGAATTTGAGAAAATAATTACATGATTTACGGAAAGTAATCTGGTTCACAAGTGATATAAGAACAAGCTTTATCTATTAGTTATTCATATTTTAGAAACCTTTTAAATATTTCCCATCATAGTATAAAGATGTGGGACATGCTGAATTATTGAGCTTATTGTTACCATTATTATGTGTAGCATATTCTACGTTACACATAGAGGACTGATTGAAAAAACGATAGAAAATTGACATGTATCAAAAAATTCAAAGGTGAAGTTTAATTCACTTGATATTGTTTTTACTTGAATCTTCCCATTGATGATTTTTTTTGGAC